AGGGATTGATCCTGCTGTTCACCCCCAGGGTCACTCTGACTGAACCCGCTCCTCAGGGATTGATCCTCTGTTCACCCCCAGGGTCACTCTGACTGACCCCGCTCCCCAGGGATTGATCCTGCTACTGCTGTCCATTCTTAGACTGATCTATTTCCTCTACCCTTTTTACTTTGGTTGGTATGAAGACATAGCAAGTAAGTAGTAATGCTAAGAGAATGGTTATTATTTATTGCAAGGGGAGTTGAATGCAAGCTTAGGGAAGTTATGCTTCAGTTATAAGTAAGTCCACTGGTAAGTCCAATCCTGAAGTATTGTGTTCAGTATTAGTCACTGTACTTAGCGAAGGATATAAATGCATTGGAAGCTCTGCAGGAAAGATTTATGTGAAATACCTTTGAATGAGTGGGTCGTCTCATTATGAAAGGTTGGATGATCTAGATTCATATTTGCTGACATTTAGAAGAGTCAGAGGTGACTCATTTGAAACAAAAATGATCCTGGGCTGTCTTGATAAAGTAGATTAGGAAAAGCTTTTTCTTTTAATGGGAGAATCTAGAACTAGGGGAGGGTCACAGTTTAAAAATGAGAGGTAACCCATTTAAGATATTTGTTTGAATGTGTTTAAGGTAGAGGTGGACAGGTTTTTAAAAAGCAACTGGGTGAAAGATAATCAGGGAGGGGTAGTGGAATTGGGTTTCAATCAGATCAGCCATGTTCTTGTTAAATGGCAGAGCAGGCTTGTGGGCCGAATGGCTTACTCCTGCTCCTAACAAGGATGATCTTATGACCTGGAAGGTGCTGCTGATAAGAACAGTGGAAGCAGAGAGGCTCAAAGATTTCAAAAGGAAATTGAGTGGGGCACTTGAGTGAACTAAACTGGCAAAGCTGCTGGAATAGAATGGGGACATCTTTGCCTCCATAAACAAAAAAAACCTTCTTGGTATCTCTCCTGTCTTTTGTTTTTAGTTTCTGTCTCACAATTTATGCATTTCTGTGTTACCCACTGATCTACTCTCAGTCACTCACTTTTGTTCTCCCTTAATGAGGGACATACAGCACAGCAACAGGCCCTTCGGCCCACCATGTCTGTGGTGACCATGATGCCATTCTAAACTAATCCCATCTGCCTGCATATGGCCCATATCTGTCTATTCTCTGCCTGTTCATGTGTCTGTTTAAATGCTTCTTAAACTTTCTGCTATCATATCTGTCTGTATCACCTCCCTTGGCAGCACATTCTAGGCACCTACTACCCTCTGTGTGAAAACCTGCCTCGTATATGTCCTTTAAACTCTCCCCCTCTCACCTTAAACATACGCTCCCTACTATTTGACATTTTACATCCTGGGAAAAAAATTCTTACCATCCACCCTCTGCATGCCTCTCATAATTTTACACACTTCCATCAGGTCACCCCTCAGCATCCAACGCTCTTGTGACAATAATCCATAATGTATTATATCATTTGTCTATTGGCATTGGATAACTCCCCCATCCCACCATTACTCCCCAGTACCAGCCCCCAGTAGAATTGAGGGCCCACCTTGAGCACATGGCCAGTAACAATTCTATACATTTCCAGCTTATGAGAGGTAACTACAGGCTTGTCTAATTCACAATCCTCATATCCCCAGAATAAATTACACTTTATTTTGAATGGTTCAAACATTGGGAGACAAAAAGTTAATACTGATTATTCGTTAGAATGGGATGAGAGAGGTTACGCAGATGATTTTTAAAAAAATATAAAATTATGCCTCTATTAAAATGCTGTAAAATGGCCACAAACAGGTTCAAAGGCAAAACCACCTATTGATATGCTAGTTGTTTTTAAACAGATGCTTAATTGTGTATTCTATAAACATCATAGACGACGTTAAAAGGTGAAGGAAATATATCTGACTGTTATACAATAACACGAGGCGTGTGCCTTCAGGTCAGTGAAATGGATTGCAGGTGTGAATTAAATCAGTTTCCTCCGATCAGTGAGGATTCCGAAATGCTGACGAAAGTCACAGATGTTGCTGTCATTTACCGAAACTATTAACTTCTGGTGGATTAGAACCGTAGCCTCACCCGCCAGCCCACCCACCCCATCCCCCACCTCCACATTCAACCATCTCCATCCCCACCTCCAGTTACCCCTGCACATTGATTGGCCACAGGGTTAAGAATTGACAATCATTCTTTCATGGGATGTAGGAGTTGCTATCTGGAATCATAGAATCCCTACAGTGTGGAAGCAGGCCACTCAGCCCATCAAGTCCACGTTGACCCTCTGAAGTGCATCATACCCAGAACACATCCATAACACATGCTGCTTCTTAAAAGAATTTTAATAAATTAGTTAAACCAGGTTTCTCTTTCACAAAGCCATATTGACTCCGCCTGATCATCTTGAATTTTTCTAAGTAACATGCTATAACATCTTTAATAATAAATTCTGACATTTTCCATATGACAGATGGTAAGTTAATTGATCTGTAATTTCCCGCTTTCTATCTCCAACACTTTTTGAAAGAAAAAGTTACATTCGCTATTTTCCAAGTTAATGGAACCTTCTAAGTAATTTTGGAAAATTAAAACTGACACTTCAATTATCTCATTACTTCTAAGACCTGAGGATGAAGTCCATTGGGACCTGGGGACTAGTCAGCCTGTAACTCCAACAATTTGCTCAGTACCTCTTCCCCGTTGATTATAATTTTCTTGAGCTCCTCCCTCCCTTCCACTGCCTGATTTATAGTTATCTGGGAGTCACAGAGTAATACAGCATAGAAGAGGCCCTTCAGCCCATCGAGTCTGTGCTGCTCTATTTACACTAAATCCCACTTTCCAGCCCTTGGCCCATAGCCTTGAATGTTATGGCATTACAAGTGCCCATCCATGTGCCTGTTAAAGACTGTAAGATTTACGACCTCAACTAGCCTCCCAAATAGTGTATCCTAGATTCCCACCACCCACTGGGTGAAAAATATTTTTCTCAAATCCCTCTAAACCTCCTGCTCTTCACCTTAACATTATGTCCCCTCAATATTGACTCTTCAACTAAAGGGAACAGCTGCTTTCTATCCACCCAGGCCATGTCCCTCTCAACCTTAGAAGCCTCTATCAGGTCAACATTTAGGGGGAGACAATGGCCTAGTGGTATTAATCCAGGAAACCCAGCTAAACTTCTGTGAAGCCGTGTCCAAATCCTATCATAGCAGGTGGTCGGATTCGAATTCACTTTTAAAAAAATCTTGAATTAAGAATCTATTGATGAACATGAAACCATTGGTGATTGTCGGAAAAAACCCATCTGGCTTACTAGAGTCATAGAGTAATACAGCATGGAAATAGACCCTTCAGCCCAAACTGGTCCATGCTGACCCTGGTGCCCACTCAGCTAGTTCCAACTGCCCGCATTTGGTCCATATCCCTCTAAACCTTTCCCATCCATGTACCTATCTAAATGTTTTTTAAATGTTGCTATTGTACCTGCCTCAACCACTTTCTCTGGCAGCCCATTCCAAATACGCACCACTCTCTGTGTGAATAAGTTGCCCCTCAGGTCCTTCTTAAATCTTTCCCCTCTCACCTTAAACCTATGCCCTCTAGTTTACAATTCCGCATCCGTGGGAAAAAGGCTATATGCATTCATTCTACCTATGCCCCTCATGATTTTATACACCTCAAATACTGGTGTCCTTCAGGGAAGGAAATCTGCCATCTTTACCTGGTCTGGCCTACATGTGACTCCAGACCCACAGCAATGTGGTTGACCCTCAACTGCCCTCTGAAATTGCTTAGTAAGTCACTCAGTTTAAGGATAGTTAGGGATGGGCATAAATACTGGCAATGCCCTTGCCCCACAAGTGAGTAAGACAGAAAACCTTCTCTGTTCCAAAGAAAATAATGTGAGCTTATCCAGCCTTTCTTCAGAGCTAAGGTCTTCCATCCCAGGCAACATCCTAGTGAATCTCTTCTGCACCCACATCCTTCCAATAGTGTGGTGACTGGAACAATACACAGTACTCCAGCTCACCAAAGCCCTGTACAGCTCCAACATAAGCTCTAAGGAAGGGTCACTGGCCCTGCAATGTTAACTCCACAGATGCTACCAGACCTGTTGAGTTTTTCCAGCGATTCTATTTATGTTTCTGATTTTTTTCCCCCAACATAAGCTCCCTGCTTTTATAAACTGTGTTATGACTGATAAAGTGATGTGCCTTCTTAACTACCCTAATGTCCTCAGGAATCTGTGGACAAGTACCAAGATCATAGAATCCCTACAGGGTGGAAGCACACCATTCGCCCCATCGAGTCCACACTGACCTTCCGAAGAGCATCCAACCCAGACCCACTCCTCTACCCTATCTCTGTCATGCTGCATTGCCCATTGGCCAATCCACCTAGCTTGCACATCCCTGGACACAACAGGCGATTAAGCATGGCCAATTTTGCATATCTTTGGACTATGGGAGGAAGCCAGAGCAGACGGAGGAAACCCACACAGACACAGGGAGAACATGCAAACTCTGCACAGTTGCCTGAGGGTGGAATCGAACCCGGGTCCCTGGTGCTGTGAGGCAGCAGTGCTAACCACTGAGCCACCGTTCCTGTTTTGGTTACTAAAGCGAACAACCTCACATGATGCCGCATCTATACAAGGTACGAATGGAAATAAGAGAAAGAGATTACCAGTCGGAAGGATCGCAGCACAGACAGACCATCCACTCTGGCTAGGCCCAGCTCAACCAAGCTCAGGCAAACAATGATGCTGTCAAATATGTTCCAACCCTGCTGAAAGTAGTAGTAAGGATCCAAGGCAAGGATTTTTAAGACCATCTCAGCTGTGAAAATGGCAGTGAAGACCTGTTGGAGATAGGAGGTTGTTTCAGAGCAGTGACTTACAACAGAAGAGATCCCACTCAAACTCCATCACATCCCACCCCACCCTCCATCACTGCCTGTCACCCTCATGCCCCCTGCCTCCTGGGGATGAAGCCCACCAAGCCTGACTGGAGCACAATCCTTAGATGCCAAACAGTAGATATCCAAGTGAGGCAGCACGCCGCTGCTGAGCACTCCCAGCTCCCCAGAAACCTCTCTGCCTTTGTTTCTCAAACGGAATGAGCCTCACTCAGTCTCCTTTCTACAGACAGCAATTATCTCCGAGGAACTAGAAAGAAACTCAAAGCTGAGCAGTTGGACTAAATATTTACAACTCAAGCTGTGAACCTCCTGCCAATCAACACATTTACAAAGCAGGAAAAAATTAACTCCCTCACATCTCCCCAGTCCTTCACACTGAACAGGGTAGGAAAGGAACATACAGACACACAGAGAATCACACATACACACAGACACACACACACACACACACACACATAGATATACACAGACATAGATACACACATGCACAGACACATATACATGCACATATAGACACACACAGACACAGACACACACACACACACAGACAGACAACACACACAGAGACACCCACACAGGAACACAGATACACACGCACAGACACATACACACATACACAAACACACACACAGACATACGCACAGATACACACACACACATACACAGTCACACGTACACAAACACACATACACAGCCACACGCACATACACACACAGACACACCTGCACAAACACACACACACACAAACATACACACTCATATACACACTCACACACACACACACACACACACACAGACATCGTACCTGCTCCAGTTTTATTACCGGGGAGCCAATCTCCTGCCTTTTCCCCCCTATCCCTGCACATCATTTCTATCCAAATAATCATCCAATGACCCTCTGCAATGCCTCATTTGAACCTGTCTCCAGTTGTTTCCAGGCAATGCATTCCATACCCTAACTACTCAATGAGTGAAAAAGGTTTTTCTCACATCTCACTTACTTTGTTTGCAAGTCACTTTAAATCCATGCTATCTTGTTCTTGCTTCTTTTACGAGCAGAAACAGCTTTGCTCTATCTACTAGGGGAGGCAATGGCCTAGTGGCATTATTGCTGGATTGTTAAACCCAGAGACCCACATAATGTTCTGGGGACCTGGGTTCAAATCCCACCATGGCAGATGGTGGAATTTGAATTCAGTAAGATATCTGTAATTATGAATCTAACAATGACCATGAATCCATTGTTGATTGTCGGAAAAATCCATCTGGTTCACTAATCCCCTTTAGGGAAGGAAACTGCCATCGTTACCTGGTCTGGCCTACATGTGACTCCAGACCCACAGCAATGTGGTTGACTCTGAATTGCCCTCTGGGCAATTAGGAATGGGCAATAAATGTTGCCTGGCCAGTGATGCCCTTATCATGTTAATGAAAAAAAAATTCTGTCCAGCCACCTCATGATTTTGAAAAGCTCTATCAAATATCCTCTCAGCCTGCTTCTATCCAGGGAAAATGCTCCTAACTTCTTCGATTTATCCTCACGATCAAGGGGATTGACATGGGGTAAGGGAGAGTGGAAGCTAAGAGACACTGTAATCCTTGCTACCAACTTCCTCATCCTAACCCCCAGCACACCACTACACGAAAGCCCTTTCTAACAGCACATAGTGTTGGAGATGGTATATCAGCATGAATAGAGAATTGGCTCATTGGCAGGAAACAGCAAGTGAGGTTCCTTTTCCTGGGCAACCCATGACCAGTGGCATCAGTGCTGGGACCACTTCTGAAGAAGGGTGCAGACCAGAAACGTCAGCTTTCCTGCTCCTCTGATGCTGCTTGGCCTGCTGTGTTCATCCAGCTCTACACCTTGTTGTCTCACAACTGTTTACAATATTTATTAATGACTTGGAGGAAGGAAGTGAATGTATTATAGCCAAATTTGCAGATCACACTAAAAAGGTGGAAAGGCAGATTGTGAGAGGGATAGAAATAGTTTACCAAGAGATATTGACAGCTTAAATAAACAGGCAAAAGTCTTTCAAATAGAACATAACGTAGGAAAATGCGAATTTGTTCAATTTGGAAGGGAGAACAAAAAAGAACAGATTATTGTTTAATTGGAGAAAAGCTGCAGAAAGCTGCTACACAAAGGGATTGAGTGGGTAACTTGTGCACGAAACACAGAAACGGGGCAGCAGGTAATCAGGAAGGCTAATGAATGATGGGCCTTACTTCAAGTGGGTTGGAGTGTAAGAGTGAGGAAGTTTTACTGCAACTGTACAAGGTGCTGGTGAAATCTTATCTGGAGGACTGTGAGCAGTTTTGGTCCCTTTATTTGAGGAAAGATTTCATTTCCATTGGAGGCAGTTCAGTGAAGGTTCACGAGGATGATCTCTGGTATGGAGGGATTGTCTTTTGAGCAAAGGCCAAACAGGTTAGGACTCTACTCACTGGAGTTTAGAAAAATGAGGGGTGATCACATTGAAACATAAGAGGATTCTCAAGGGGCTTGACAGAGTAAATGCTGAGAGAATGTTTCCCCTCATGTGAGAGTCAAGGGCCAGAAAGCATACTCTCAGAATAAAGAGGCGCCAATTTAAGACTGATTTGAGGAGGAATTTCTTCTCTTAGAGGGTTGTGAGTCTTTGGAACTCCTTGACACAGAGAGCTGTAGGGGTGGAATTCTTGTGTATATTTAAGGCTGAGTTAGATTCTGAGTTAGAGTTATGGGGAAAGGGGAGGAAAGTGAACATGAGGAATGTCGGATCCGCCATGATCCTATTGAATTGCGGAGCAGGCTCGAGGGGCTGAACTACCTACTCCAGTTCCTTTTTCTTACGGAATGGGGTTTTTTAGCACCTGGATTTGTCCTGCATCCTGGAGGTCCAGACGTTGCTGTACCTGCAACAACCAGGGCCTCCTAAGGAAGGTGACCTCATTCACCCACTGCCAGCTCTGGGTGGCTGGCAGCGCCAGCTCTGGGGGACTTTGGATCTCAGGGTCCTCAGTTGGCAGGGAGGCCCACTGGTGTCCACTTACGTGCCAATGGGGCTAAACTACCAGCGGGTGAGCTTCTGAAAGTGAGTGTGAGTGTCTCGGTACTTTAGCAGGCAGCTCATAGGACACCTGTCAAACTCAGAACGTACACCCACCCACCCACACACACACACACACACAGACACACAGACACACACACACACACTCACACACACAGACACACAAATACACACAGACACAGACACACACAGACACACACACACAGACACACAGATACACACAGACACAGACACGCACAGACACAGACCACACACACACACACACACATACACAGACACACACACACACACACACACATACACAGACACACACACACACACACACACAGACACACAGATTCACACAGACACAGACACACACACACACACACACAGACACACACACACGCAAACACACACAGACACAGACACACACACACA